GCAGGTGAAGTCAGTGCTCAGGTGGGACGCACAAAAATCAGTCTGGACCTCATTTCTCCTGCGGTCATAGCGCGACGACGCACGGCTGAATGCACGCGCACTCCAAAGCGTGAATATAATGACTGTCAACCCGCCGGATATTTCACTGGCTGAATAATGATGAGCAGCTTTAACGCCAAGGCACCAAGGCTTCATAAAGTACTACGTTATTGTGTAAATAGTAAAGAAGTGCACAGAGGAGGTAATTTGCAGGCAATATTATCACTAGTAATCAGAAGTTTGGCTCTTTTCCAAGAATCGGCTCTTGTGGCACGGCTCCCAAAGAAGAGTCGTCTCTTTTGGCTCCTAATTTATTTTCATCTGCAGCCTCACATTTTAGCTTARCTTGGCAAATATGAATAATTTCACTTTACTCGTCTTTACTGTGATGGCTGCATTATGTAGAAGAAAAGTGAATTCTTACTGAAGGACAGATGATGAGTCCGTACGGTCCTTCTCTCTTGAAGAAAGGCAGCCTCTTCTCCTGCTCCAGGGCGAACATGATGATCGGCAGAGTGAAGACCAAAGTCTTTCCTGATCCAGTGAAGGCGATGCCGATCATGTCTCGGCCTGACAGCCTGAACACAAACGGGGTTCATGTGTGTTTAACCTCAACCGTGAACACTGCGTCTATTAGCTTGGTGTGCTGAACTTACACTGTGGGGATTCCTTGGATCTGAATCGGTGTCGGGTGAACAATCCCTTTCTTTTTTAAACCTTTTAGAATGGCTGCGGTCGCAAGAGATATGTTATCACTTGTGAACTACTGAATCAGACAGGAGAGGTGTTTTTAATGTGTGGGACAGACCTGGTGGGAACTTCATCTCCCTGAAGCTTTTGATGGGAGCAGGGATGCCTTCTCCGTCAACCAGAATGTGGAATTTCTTCCTGACACGTTCGTGTCTGGTGTCTGGCATGTTCAGGATGTAGCGTGGCGCTTTCCAGCTACGGATGGTAATGGAGTTAAACAACTAACTACAGTGGGGTGCAAAGGTTTGGGTAGCCTTGTTAATTTTCCTGATTTACCTTTATAAATCATTGACTGTTTGGATTAAAAAAATTTGTAAAATATATCATATAGGGGACAAACACAGTGATATTTCAGAAGTGAAATGAAGCTGATATGATTTACAGAAAGTATATAATAAATGGTTAAACAAAATTAGGCAGGTGCATACATTTGGGCACCAGAAAATAATAAAACAAAACCTTACCTCAATATTTAGTGGATCCTGCTTTTTTCTTTGGTGCCCAAATATCACTATTTTTGTTCCCTATATGATACAGCAGGTAAAATAAGTATTGAACACATCAACATTTTTCTCAGTAAATATATTGCTAGAGGTGCTAATGACATGAAATTTTCACCAGATGTCGGTAACAACCCAAGTGATCTATACATACAAAGAAATCCAACCATAAATGTCCAGAAATGAAGTTATTTGTAATAATGTGGAATGGCACAGGGAAAAAGTATTGAACACATGAAGAANCCCCCCAGAGGGTACGCCACAAAGACTGTAAAATCCTGAAGTCTGTATGGAATTAGGAGTAGCATTATACACAAGATTTACATTTTTTTAACTTTTTAAACTAAAAAAATGGAGTTTGCGTTATATTTGAATTGCATTATACATGTAGAAATACAGTAAATAAGATCTTAAGCACAAAGACAGAATTTTCCCCTCAAAATCTCCCCATTTTCCTTTTTTCCCCCAAAAAAAAAAAAACCAGAGGTGGTTTTAAAACACATTTGTCTAAACAATATCTAATAAATCTGACACATAAAATAGAGAATATTCAGCATTTATTTACAGGTAGTGAAGGTTGAATCTGACCAGGAAAAGCATTAAAGTCTTTCTGATTTTTTATTTTATTTTATCTTTATTTACACTACTTACACATGAAAACTGCATTGAATCAAGAAGAGCAACATAAAATGGGACGTTTCAGAAAGACATTAAAATCCTAATGAATCAAAACAGAATTAAACCTGATGTCTACTGAGCGTGATTAGTTTGCTGAATCATTAATGGCATCATGTTATGAACAACTGCACCTTTGTTCTTTAGTTAGGATTTAATGGCACTAGGAATGCGCGATATAAACAATATACGGTAGAAACGATATAAATTTGTCCTATGATAGAGATCTGTAGTCTACCGGCCAACCGCGCAATTCTTTTTGATGATGTAACCGGCCGGAGTCAAAACAGAGGAAGCAGGAAGCAGCGTGGCTGAGAGCGCAAATGAAGAGGGGAAAAACTTATCCGGACCTGGTTCGGGTATGTGAAAATGAACGCTGAACTGTTTACATATTTATGTGACGGCGCGTCCTCCGGTCGGATGCCGACCGACCACACTGCCTGCAGCTGGAGGAGCGCGCGCCGCGGCATGTGTGAAGGGCTCGACACATGGGAGGAGACGTCGCTCACTCTCCATTCATTTCCACGCAGCGAGGCGACTGTCAGAGCAGGTGAAGTCAGTGCTAAGGTGGGACGCACAAAAATTAGTCTGGACCTCGTTTCTCCTGCGGTCATAGCGCGACGACGCACGGCCGAATGCGCGCGCACTCCAAAGCGTGAATATAATGACTGTCACCCTGCCGGAGCGCGCACAGATTACACAGGTGGAGTGCAGAAAAAATAATCTGCAAAGTGTGTAGAAAGGAATAAATACAAGCAATTTGTTTTACCACCTTAAAACGAAGCAGGTGATTCTAAACACAACACCCAATGGATGCAGATATCTGTTACATTAAAGTTATTGTGTGTATGTATGATGCATATACAGTATACAGTGGTTTGCAAAAGTATTCATACC